GCCATTTTGACAATATTAATTCTTCCTAGCCAAGAGCATGGGATGAATTTCCATTTATTAGTGTCCTCTTTAATTTCTCTTAAGAGTGTCCCATAGTTTTCTGGGTATAGGTCTTTCACTTCCTTGGCTAGGTTTATTCCTAAGTATTTTATTCTTTTTTATGCAATTGTGAATGGACTTGTTTTCCTCATTTTTCTTTCTGCTAGTTCCTTGTTAGAGTATAAGAATGCAACAGATTTCTGTGTATTAATTTTGCATCCTACAACTTTACTGAATTCAGATATTAGATCTAGTAGTTTTGGAGTGGATTCTTTAGGGTTTTTTATGTACAATATCATGTCATCTGCAAGCAGGGACAGTTTGACTTCTTCCTTGCCTATCTGGATGCCTTTTATTTCTTTGTGTTTTCTGATTTCCGTGGCTAGGACCTACAGAAGTATGCTGAATAAAAGTGGGGAGAGTGGGCATCCCTGTCTTGTGCCCTATCTTAAAGGAATAGCTTTCAGCTTCTCGCTGTTAAGTATAATGTTGGCTGTGGGTTTGTCATATATGGCCTTTATTATGTTGAGGTATTTGCCCTCTATACCCATTTTGTTGAGAGTTTTCATCATGAATGGATGTTGAATTCTGTCAAATACTTTTTCAGCATCTGTGGCGATATTCATGTGGTTTTTGTCCTTTTTGTTGATGTGTTGGATGATGTTGATAGATTTTCGAATATTGTACCATCCTTGCATCCCTGGGATGAATCCAGCTTGATCAAGATGGATGATCTTTTTGATATATTTTTGAATTCAGTTTGCTAATATTTTGTTGAGTGGTTTTGCCTCTATGTTTGTCAGGGATATTGGTGTGTAATTTTCTTTTTTTTGTGGTGTCTTTTCTGGCTTTGATATTTGGGTGATTCTGGCCTCATAGAATCAGTTTCGGAGTATTCCCTCCTCTTCTACTTCTTGGAAAACTTTAAGGAGGATGGGTATTAGGTCGTCACTAAATGTTTGATAAAATTCAGCAGTGAAACCATCTGGTCGAGGATTTTTGTTCTTGGGTAGTTTTTGATTACCAATTCAATTTCTTTGCTGGAAGTTGGTCTATTCAGATTTTCTGTTTCTTTCTGCATCAGCCTTGGAAGGTTATATTTTTCTAGAAAGTTGTCCATTTCTTCTAGGTTATCAAGTTTGTTAGCATATAATTTTTCATAGTATTCTCTCATAATTCTTTGTATTTCTGTGTTGTCCATTGTGATTTTTCCTTTCTCATTTCTGATTGTTTATGTGTGTAGATTCTCTTTTTTTATTTTTTGGATAAGTCTGTCTAGGGGTTTATCTATTTTGTTTATTTTCTCGATGAACCAACTCCTGCTGTCATTAATTCTTTCTATTGTTTTAGTCTTCTGAATTTTATTTATTTCTGCTTTAATGTTTATTATGTCCCTCCTTGTATTGACTTTGGGCCTCATTTGTTCTTCCTTTTCTAGTTTCATTAATTGTGAGTTTAGACTGTTCATTTGGGATTGTTCTTCTTTTCTGAGGTAGGCCTGTATTGCAATATATTTGCCTCTTGACATGCCCTTGACTGCGTCCCACAGATTTTGTGTTGTTGAATCATTGTTGTTATTTGTCTCCATATATTGATCTCTGTTTTTATTTGGTCATTGATCCATTGATTATTTAGGAGCATGTTATTAAGGCTCCATGTGTTTGTGGGCTTTTTTGTTTTCTTTGCATAATTTATTTCTAGTTTCATACCTTTGTGATATGAGAAGCTGATTGGTACAATTTCAATCTTTTTGAATTTACTGAGGTTCTTTTTGTGACCTAGTATATAATCTATTCTTGAAAATGTTCCATGTGCACTTGAGAAAAATGTGTATCCTGTTACTTTTGGATGGAGTGTTCTGTAGAGATGTCCATTAGGTCCATCTGTTCTAATACGTTGTTCAGTGCCTCTGTCTCTTTACTTATTTTCTGTCTGCTTGATCTATCCTTTGGAGTGAGTGGTGTGTTGAAGTCTCCTAAAATAAATTCATTGCATTCTGTATCCCCCTTTAATTCTGTTAGTATTTGTTTCACATACATAGGTGGTCCTGTGTTGGGTACATAGATATTTATAACAGTTATATGCTCTTGTTGGACTGACCCTTTTATCATTATGTAATGTCCAGCTTCATCTCTTTTACTTTCTTTCTTTTGAAGTCTATTTTGTGTGATACAAGTACTGTAACTCCTGCTTTTTTCTCCCTATTACTTGCATGAAATATCTTTTTTCATCCCTTTACTTTGGGTTTGAAGTGAGTCTTTTGTAGGCAGCATATAGATGGATCTTTGTTTTTAATCCATTCAGTGACTCTGTGTCTTTTGATTGGTGCATTCAGACCATTTACATTTAGGGTGATTATCAATAGGTATGTACTTACTGCCATTGCAGGCTTTAGATTCGTGGTTACCAAAGGTTCAAGGGTAATTCTCTTAGTATCTAAAAGTCTAATTTAACTCACTTTGTGTGCTATTACAAACAGAACCTAAAGATTCTCTCTCTTTTTTTCCTCCTTTTTCTTCCTCCTCCATTCTTTGTATGTTATGAATCATATTCTGTACTCTTTGTCTATCCCTTGGGTGACATATATTTAGCCTTAGGAATACTTCCATCTATAGGAGTCCCTCCAAAATGAACTGTAGAGGTGGTTTGTGAGAGGTAAATTCTCTCAACGTTTTCTTATCTGAAAATTGTTTAATCCCTCCTTCAAATTTAAATGATAACCTTGCCGGGTATATTATTCTTGGTTCAAGACCCTTTTGCTTCATTGCATTAAATACATCTTGCCACCCTCTTCTGGCCTGTAAGGTTTCTGTTGAGAAGTCTGATGATAACCTGATGGATTTCCTTTGTATGTGATCTTTTTTCTCTCTCTAGCTGCATTAAAAATCTGTCTTTATCCTTGATCTTTGCCATTTTAATTATTATATGGCTTGATGTTGTCTACCTTGGCTACCTTGTGTTGGGAGATCTGTGCACCTCCATGGCCTGAGAGACTATCTCCTTCCCCAGATTGGGGAAGTTTTCAGCAATTACCTCCTCAATGACACTTTCTATCCCTTTTTCTCTCTCCTCTTATTCTGGTACCCCTGTAATATGAATATTATTCCGTTTGGATTCATCACACTGTTCTCTCAATATTCTTTCATTCTTAGAGATTCTTTTTTCTCTTTGTGCCTCAGCTTCTTTGTATTCCTCTTCTCTAATTTCTGTTCCATTTACCATCTCTTCTACTACATCAAATCTGCTTTTAAGTCCCTCCATTTTATGTTTCATTTTAGATATGGAATTTCTTAATGATTGAATCTCCAACTTAAATTTGTTCCTGAGTTCTTGAATAATTTTGTACCTCTATGAGCATGTTTATGATTTTTATTTTGAACTCTCAGGAAGATTGGTGAGTTCAGTTTCATTAGGTCCTTTTTCTGGGATCTCTGAGATTTTGGTCTGAACCATGTTCTTTTGAACATTTTTGACATTTCATATTTCTGTGTGGTGCCCACTAGTGCCCAGAAGCTCCAGTCTCTGGAGCTGCTCAGCCCCTAGAGTGAGGTTGGGGGTCATAGGGGAGTGGAGCTGGTGCCTAGGGGAGGAAAGATCTGTTTCCTGATTCCTGTCTGCAGTGCCTGTCTCCGGTGTCAGAGCCAATGGGCCAAGCACAGGGGTGTAAGCCTCTGTGCTTTGCATCTATAGCTATTGTAGGCTGAGCCTCCTGGCTGGCCTGACACCAGCTCAGTGATTGCTATTTTACGAACCAGTGCCGGAAGGCAGGCGCAGCAGGCTGCATGTCACAGTGGGGGGCCTTGGAGCTGAGCAGGCAGCCAGGGGGATGGGGCGCCCAAAGTTCCTCAAAGTTCCCAACCAGTTAGGCAGAGCACACCCAGACAACCTTGTCCAGCTCTCCCCTCCCCCACGCAGCAAGCTCCATGCAAACCCCGCTCCTTCAGCAGCCCTCTCGCTGCTAGGAAGCCTTTCAGACCGCCTGCCTTTCCCTTGTCCCAGAGCGGATGGGTGTGGATCCCCTCCACAAATGGTCAGAATCTGTCTCTCAAGCACTCCACCTGTCTGAGCTCTCCAACGTCCAGAGCACCTCCAGGACCAGGTGTTCAGCAGTCCTGGACTTCCACCCCCTCCCCTGCTCCATTTCTATTCTTCCCGCCGGTGAGCTGGGGTCGGGGAAGGGCTTGGGTCCCTCCTGACAAAAGGCTTTCGTATGTTACCCTGTGTTCATGAGGTCTGCTCTATTCATGAGATCTGCATGCAGTTTGGTTCAGCCTTCTTTCTTGTTGCTGTTTTAGGGTTAGTTGATTAACTACATTCTCATACTATCTGTGGTTTTGGGAGGAGTTCTCCATCTCACTTCTCATACTGCCATCTTGAATCTCTTGTGTCTTGTAATTTTTAAAGGCTCACCATCATGTGCAGTTACCAGACCCCTTAAGAACAAAGTTACATACCAGCCTATAACTCTCAGTTAGTGAAGTTATTCTGGAGAAAATCACACAACCAAAAAAACAAAAGCCATCTGTTCATTGATCCATTCTAGTATATGTGTTATTCCAAAGGATTAAGTTGCAATTATAATTCCTTCAGTGGTTGATAACTTGCAAGCAGGATCACTGCCATTTATGAGATACAGGCCCTATCCACATCAGAATAAGACTAGAATGTGGTAATGATGGTTATTTTTTGTTAGCAAGGAGAACTCACTGTTCATGCTGCTATGCACTTGTCTCCTCATGATTCCCTTAATGATTTTATATTTAATTGTGTACATTTTGTTTCTCTGATAACTTACTGATAAACTTATTGAGGGTAGGTAAGAGTTTTCTAGCTAATTTAATATCCTAATACCTAGAATAATACCTGAATCTTATTAGATACTCATAATATTTATTGAAGTAATCTTTTATCTAGTTATGTTTTTCTTTGCCTTCTAAAGTCTTAATTTATTGACATTGTAGATGCTGAGAAAAACTCTTATAGGGTCAGAAAGTAAAGAACTGGAAATAACACCTGGGGGACCAACTTTGGTGCCATTTGGGGATGTGGTATGTATAACTAATCCTCAATAAACCTATTCAAATAATTTTTAATTTCATATGAAGACTAGTGAATGTTTGTTATTTGGTAACCAAAAAGTATGTGTAGAAAATGGTGCCAATAACATATTCTTGGATTTTTCATTTTTATGAGTCAGAAAAGCATTCTAGTAATCACTGAAATTATGAAAAATATCTTGATTCACAGGAAAAAAATAAGGTTTTCTATACTAGGTATTCCAAAATTCTAGTCACATCAGAATTACCTGAGATACTTTTTAAAAACATCAAATTCTGGGCCTCACTTAGAATCTGAGAATGGAGCCTAGGAATCAGTATTTTTATTGCACACTTCTGGTAATTGCATGTATTGTCATATTTAGGAAACGTTGAGCTACAGTTTGAAAATTAGCTCCATATCTTTCTCTCATCCAAAAAATAATCAACCCCAGAAACAAAAGCAAACACACTCATCAATCATACACATACACCCAAATACTCAAGTAGGGCCTAATATCTAGGCTGAGAACCAGAAAAATTTGTCTTCTCTTTTGGGTACTATAGAGAACTGTCAAATATTGTGTTATTCTTTTATGGTTGTCTTGATTTCTGAACTCTACTAGAATAGTTCATGGTGTGAGAGAGAGTTTCTCCTGTCCTTCTTCTCTAGATTCTGCCATATACTAATACATTTTCTTGATCACAAGATACATGATAAATCTACCAACACCTTTTTGGAGGAAAAAGTAAGACTATGTTAACACACATTTTTGTTTTTACCAAATGACCATGGTATGCGTTTATCCATACAATTATTAAACACTTTATTTCCTGTATCACAATCAGAGTTGGAATATAAGCCTCCACTGTCTGAATTTAAACAGAAAAATTATTTGAAACTGCTCTTGGCTATTAGCTATTATGTGTGTCATTAAGTTGACATACTAATTTCTGTAATCCGTACTCTTGAGTATGACTTCTACATCTCTTTTCGAATTGACATTTTGAAGAGTATTTTTATTTCACCCCACATCCAACTTCACAGTTTATATTTTCCTTGTTTGAATTGCATACTGCTAGACATTAAAAAGCTTCTTTTAAGAGTCAGCTGGAAGGTTTTGACAAAGGTGTTTGGCATGTGATTGATAGCTCCTCCCAATTCATGATTCATCACATCACTTTCTCTTTGAAAGTTCTGTAATTTATTCTGAGATATTTGACAACGATAACTACATCACAACCCAGAACTATTTCTGATAGTCACATCCCATTTTCAGAAAACAATGTGAAAATGCTGTGTCTTAGAACTGGGCACATAAAATGCTTTTGGGAACACCTTTCTGGTTGCTTTCTTGTTCTAAATGCATGTGTGAGACTATCTTGGGGGTGAAGCTATAGACACGGTTGTTATGTTGGGCCACAGATGGGTCTCAGAATCTATAGCATCATTTATTACCCACAGTCTCTGAATGGTCTTCATTATATTTTTGACTGCTAAATCTTTTTCTGTACTTGAATAAAAATTTATTCTCTTCTATAGTTTATGACTCTATTACGTAAAAGTATAAAGAGCTATTGAAACCTGAGGAAGGTTAGGGTAGTTGCCCATGGTGGCTTCATGTTGAGATACTTGGCAGGCAGGCAGTGATTTATGACAGACTGTTAATGTACAGAATTATGCAATACAAAATTCTAGCTATACTTACCTGTTTTACCCTCCTCATGTACAACCCTAATTTTAAGAAATAAATAGTGATTCATGGAATCACCTTTGGCAATACCATTTAAAATCTCTCCTGGATTATGTAATATGCATTACCCCTCTTTGAACTAGAAACATTTAACATAACATTTAATACTTATGTTTCCTTAAGAAGTAGACCATGGTATTTTCTTCTTCAGGATTTCATCATTCAGATACTGTACTTTTTAAATTAAATATTGAATGCTGACCTGTTTTTCTGTATTGTTCTAAAACCAAATCTTTAAAATTACTTATATTACATTAAAAAATTCTATTGGGCCATTTATTTTGTTTCATAATGTTTAATATAATATTGCTGTTGTGTTTAGTTTGTTTTAAAGATCAAACATGGTTAAATATATTTGCCTAATACTACATGTTAGTATTTAAGTGTTCCTATATTCATTTTGTATTTGTTTTTATGGTTAAACACAAGATAGAATTTTCTTTAACATTAAGAAACACTTTGTACAAGAAAGAATGAATATTTCACAGCTCCTTGGCATATTATAGTTTGTGAATGATCATTGAATGAATAAAGTGGTTTTAGGATACTAGGTAAAAAATCTTATCTGAAGCAAGGATTCAGGATGCTACATTTTATCAGTTCTCACCTAAAATAAAATAAAAATTTTTCAGAGTGATGGTTGAATTAAGTTAATAATGAACCATTCTTTTGCTTTGTATTCTTATTCATTTTAAGTTTACTTTGAACAAATCTTGCCTATTTTTCTTCTGTATTTCTGCATTCTGGTGTTTTCTATTAACTAGGTATTTCTATTGAGAAACAATATTTCAAAAACTAACAAAGTGGAACTTTTAAAAATAGCATATAGTTTGGTGTAGAATATAATGGAAGAGAAAAACTTTTAAAACTTAATTTCTGTGTTTTTATTTTGACTATTACAGGTTGGCTGCCTGGCTATTCATGTAAAGAACTGCAGACATTTTACGCCTAAGAGTATCCTTTTTTTTTTTAATTTAAGAACCATACTATGAACATATATCACTATTTCAGTTGTGCCTGGAAAACTGGACTTTGTTGGAATGCTGAAATGGTTGGACCTTTCTTTTTTCCATTTAGTCCCAAGGACTTGTCTTTCATTGTGGGGTTTCTTTTTCTGCATTAATTTTTATTTTCATTTTTAAAATTACATTAAAATATTATTTATTGTGATCACTGAAGTTTTTAGTGTCCCGTCATATTAGCCTTCTGGTTAGTGCCTCTCTAACCCTATCCTAGTCCCAGCTCTGGCCATGTGCATTGCATGTTAAAGTAGTCATGGAACAAGGTGAGATTCAAAAGCAGAGGAAAATAAACTTCACTTTTTGATGTAGAGAATGACAAAAAGTTTTCAGCCCTTTGTAATCCACTTCAATCATCATATAAGTTAAAGGAAAAATATCTTCTTGGTTGATGATACTAATTTATTTCTAAGTCATAACTGCTTCTCTTAAATATTGTTTAAAGGGTTTCTTTGTCTTGGTTTCTTTAAATAAGCTGAATGCTTAGCTTTATCATAGCATAAAAACAATCTCATGAAGACTTGGTATTTCCATTTTATATAGGGTGAATTATTGAAAATAATTCTGTACAAAAAGATTTTTAAAGATAATATGTTAAATCATAAAAATAGTTTGTTTTGATGAATGTAATGCTATGGACGATAAAAATAGAGACCCATATAGTATGAGTGAAGAATATAGTGAAGTGAATTAAAGAGTAGAATGCTCCTTTAAATTTTGTTGTCTTGAAATTAAAAATAAATTGCTCTCAAGTAACATTTTTTAAATTTATACATAATTATTACAGAAATTTTCATCTATATATTGCAAGTGTTTAGCCACCTTTAAAAAACCAATATTAAAAAACCAATATGTATAAAAATTTGCAAAGGAGTTACAATGGAAATGTGAGGACAAAAATATGAGAAGTGATCTAAGGAAAAACCTACCTTCTTTTCCTACTTACATTGCTCTAACATTAATGGGCAAAACTACATTATTTTAAAAGCCTTTTTTATTGTTAAATATGCTCTACAATTATCTTCTTCATTTATTTGATTCATTCTTGAATTGTAGGTATTGAATTGTTAATGGATTAGATTTATAATGTGTTATTGTTTTCAATTATAATAAAATTTGCTTCCTAAATATCTATGTATTTTCAGTCAATTTACAGCATTACAATAATTTCTTCATTCGCATCTCTATAAACAACGTTGTGAAATGTACAAAAACGTGTAGTTTGCTACATCAAAACAATGACAACAGCACTATGATTAAGTTTAATGATGTGAAGTATTTTTCTGTGCAGGTAATGTTAAAGTTCTCTTCCAGATAGAAGAATGCATTTTTTATAGATTAAAATATTCTATGCTGATTACATCTTTTTTTAGGGGACAAGAAAGAAAAAAAAAGCAGTGCCTCTTTATTTGATATTTCACAATATTTTGTTTGATATTCTACAGTATTTTACAGTTATGGGCTATATTGGTGTTTTTTAAAATAAATAGCTGACTAAACTGCATAATAATCTTGGTGATCTTCTTCCTGAGATCTTAACTGTCTGTTGTTCTTAGTGTTTATCACACTAAGATTTTTCTCTTATCTTGCTCTTCTTTTCCCATCTACCATCTTCCATTAGGTCTTAGTCAGTTTGGGCTTCTATAACAAATTGCCATACACTGGCATTTGTTTCTCACCTTTCTAGAGGCTGGGAAGCTCAAAATCAAGATCAGATGTCTGGAGAGAGCCTGCTTCTGGTTTCCTTCCGGATGCCTCCTCTCATTGTGTAGTAATGTGGCAGAGAGCAAAGAGAGATCTTCTTTCTTGTGTCTCTTCATATGAGGGCACTAATCCAATTCATGAAGGTTCCACCCCCATGACCTAATTACTTCCCAGACACCCCACTTACAAATACCATCTCACTGGGGATGCAGGCTTCGACATACGAATTTTGATAGGGCACAAATGTTCAGTCTAGAGCACATTCTTCATTTTTGTTCATCCTCCTTTCCCTCTCTCTTTTCTTCTTATACAGACTCTAATATTTTTACATGGATTAATTTATTCAGTCTGTATAACAACCCCCAAAACATATATGCTCTTTATTATAGTCCCTATTTTGCAGATGAGGAAACAGGTACTGTAAGGTTTAAATAACTTCCTGAAAGTCATAGAACTAGTCAGTGGTGGAGCTGGGAGGCTACACTTCATTAAACCATTTCTCACACCACAACTTGATATGCTAAGCGTTTGCTTCTATTTACAGTTAAGCTTCTTAGAATCTTAGATGTATTTCAGAGCTTTATTTAAAATGAGCTTCACATAGCTGTAGGATTCATTGATTATTCCAGTTTCCTAACAGTTTTGTTACATTGGTTTGAATTTCAGTAAAATCCTAAAACATTTCCTCTATGCTTCATATTGGTTATTACAAACTTCATTTTGCTTAAGTGTTAAGTATTAAAGACAGTTCTTTAAGCATACGTTTAAAAACAAAAACAAAAAACAAGCAATAGTTTTGCTAAAGGCAGTCTAGACTATTTCTTTACTTTGCAAATAGTTTTCCTAAGCTTGCCAAGTAAGGCAACCTACAGAATAGGAGAAAATATTTTCAAATCATGTATCTGGTAAGAGGTTAATATCCAAAATATGTAAGGAACTCATAAAACTCAATAGAAACCGACAGCCCAATTAAAAACCAGTAGAAGATCTGGATAGATTATTTTCCCAAAGAAGACATACAAATGGTCAACAGGTATATAAAAAAATGCTCAACATCGGTAATCATCAGGAAAATGCATATCAAAACCACTGTGAGATAGCACCTCACACCTGTTAAAATGGCCATTATAAAAAAGATAGGAAGTAACCAGTGTAGGCAAGGATGTGGAGAAAAGAGAACCCTTGGCACTATTGGTGAAATGTAAATTCATGCAGCCACTACAGAAAACAGTATGGAGGAAGAAATTAATGGTAGAATTGCCATATGATCCAGTAGTTCCACTAATTGGTATTTATCTGAGGAAAGTGAAATCACTATCTCAAAACATGTGTACTTGCATGTTCACTGCAGCATTATTCACAGTAGACAAGACCTGGAAACTACCTAATTGTCAATCCACAGATGAATGGATAAAAAAATCCATTCACACAGGAATATTATTCAGCCATCCACACACAAATAGGAATATTATTCAACCATAAAAAATAAAGAAATCCTGCCATGTGTAACAATATGGATGAACCTTGAAGGCATTATGCTAAGTGAATTAAGTCAGACAGAGAAAAATAATACTGTGTGATCTAACTTACATGTGGAATCTAAAATAAAACCCCACCAAACCCAAAAACCTGAACTCATTTATATGGAGAATAGATAGGTGGTAGCCAAAGGTGGGGTTAGTCGAGTGGGTGAAATTGGCAAAGGTGGTCAAAAGGTACAAACTTCCAGTTGTAAATAGTCTGGGGATGTAATGTATAGCATGGTGACTATACTTAATAATACTGTATCGTATATTTGAAAGCTCTAGGAGAGTAGATCTTAAAAGTTCTCATCACAAGAAAAAAATTGTAACTGTGGTGATGGATGTTAGGCTTATTGTGGTTATCATTTTGCAGATGTTAGCTAGGCTTATTGTGGTTATCATTTTGCAGTATATACTATCAAATCTTTACGTTGTATACCTAAAAGTAGTACAATATTATATGTCAATTATGTATTTTTAATTCTTTTTAAAAGGCATCTAGATTATTGAGGTGGGTACACAATGAAATTTTTTCTAATTACCAAAAGAGCATGAATTTTAAATGTCACATAATAATCATATTATGTTGCAGACCTCAAGGTTGGAAGAGAGTTCCAGGTTGGAACAATAGTATACATTTTATCAAAAAGTTAAAGAACAAAGACTGAAATGGATGTTGGATGTCCTTTGATACCTGATGTTTGGATTAATTATATTTGGATTAGATATTGAATTATTTTGATGATGTAGTATACTTAGTAGAGTGCTGAGGCTAACCTTTTGTGAGGAGTCATAAAGAGAATGTAGGCAATAAGTGTTTCAAAAAGACTGTAATTGACATTAGATGTAAACAAGATCCTGATTTTTGTTGACATTAAGGGTATATGTGACTGGGATTGAAAAATTAATAAAGCTACTAACATATGAAAACTAATCATTAGGTATGCACATAATATAGATTATGGATGTATTTATTTGGAAATTACATCTGAAATTAGGACTGAAAATTTAATACTTCTTTTCCTATGTATTTTCTATCAAGGTTCCCAGACACCAAGATGATAAGCGGAATAATATTTTCTTGGAACTAATGCAAAATGACACTACAGGAAAATATCCTCTCTTGTTAGGGAGGGCTCAGGTACACCTTTATAAAATAATTAAGGTATGTATTAAAATCATTTTTTTCACTTTGGTAACACTTTGTCCACTTTGTGTTGGTTATGATTTATCTGTACCTGATGTACTCCTATTGACATGTTATATGTCAGTCATACTATGCCTTCAAGCCCATGTGCTTAGAAAACAGTGTTCCCTATGGCTATTTAAAAAATAATAATAATTGGTTTGTAAGAGCATGATGGTCTAAAAAATTTATTTTCTGGAAGGGTAGTGATACAACCTAGGAGACTAAGCATGTTTTATTATGTTTTTTGAAATGTTTTAAAACAAGTCTGAAACCACAAACTTTATCTCTTGGTGGGCAGCACAAATTTCAGTTTAGTACTTTTACCCTTAGCTGGGCTGCTTGCAGTCTGCCCTGTGCTTGTGTCCTTTAAGGCTCAGACAGAGTTTTGGCCAAAGTTTATGGAGATTTTGTGGTTCCTTCTCTCTTGCTTTCTAGTTTTAGAAGTCCCCACATTTCCTAGTAGCCATGGTTGCCCTGAACTCAGAGGAAGAGAACTAATTGACTGGTGAACAAGAATTAATAATTTGAAGGATTTTCAGGAATATTTGTTAGCACCTAAAGTAAGGAAATTTTCAAATACTAATGGAGTTATGTCAAAAGATGCAGGGTCTCCTACTGGCCAATTTCATGATAATTTGAACATCAAAAAGAACATTACAGATTCTGAATACACAAAAATCCATGATGCCTTGGTGATCTTCAAAAAAGAAAAAGGGAGGAGGGGAAGAAAAATGGAAGTTTTACATTTTTAAATGGAAGAATGCCAGTTAATAAATGTAGAAGGAATGATAGAATTACAAATTCACCACTTTTGCAATCTTCATAGTGAATAATGACTCGTTCAGTCAGGACTTAGCAGTGGTACTAAAAACATTAGATAAAAGGCTATTGAGGAAGATCTATACATGGTGCCACAATAACAGCCCACAGATTAATTATTGCATAGGGAATAATGTGCCTCTTACAATAGAGAAATGTAGTAGTTACCACTTTAACCAAGAGCTTGAACTTGGCATCAGTAATCGTGGGCAACTTAACATCATGTACTTCCTATGGTAGTACAATATGAAGTACACAGCATTACCTAGGAATTCCTTTCATCAAAAATAATTAATGCAAATCTAACCAATCCAAGTATAGACCTAACTTGTAGTTTACAGGTATTTAGGGGATAAGGAAAATGTTATACATTGCTGTGCTGATAGGATAAGACAAATCCATAATGTGGGACCTACTGGCTTAGATTCTTTAAATAGTTAAGGTCATTAAAAAAACAAGGAACTGTTCTAGATTTAAAAAGTTACATTGATAAAAACAGTTACAAAAGACATTCTTGGGACACTTAGGAAGATTTGAATATACTTAATATTAGATAAAATTGTTAATTTAAGTGTGATCTTGATATTATGGCTATATAGAAGCGTAGTCTTATTTTTATAGAATGCAAGGTTAAGTTTTAACATTTTGGAATGTAGTGACATTATGGCTGTAACTTATAAATGGTGCAGTAAATATTTATATATACACAAAGAGATCAAGCAAACATGGCAATAATTGTTCAATTGAACTTGTTTAATCTAGGTGGCAAGTATATTGATAGTATCATTAAGGGAATCAATTTCAGTTTATGAATTTTCTGAGGAATCTTGTATTTTTATATGAAGAACGTATATGGTATGCTGATTCTGCGTGATGTCTGCCACTGTACCACCACCACCTGTTGTTTCCCTCATTAATAATAATCTCACAAGAAACTGAGAGGGCAGGTGTTAAATATAATCTTATGGGTTGTTATGCCCAAGTTTTCACTAAAGGACAGTTAGTGACCAGAATGTCTTTTCCAGGTAGCGTGAGGCATAAAAGAGGAAAACTGTTTATGTCCGTAGTGATGAGCCAAGTCTCAAGTAAAGCAAGATGGGATGTTTAATGGAGCAGTTAAAGGTGTAAGGTTATGTATAAACCATAGAATGAGGATTCCATGAACCACAGTGAAAAATGCTGGGAAGAACAGGAACTGTGGGACGTTGGATTAGGTGGGAGGACTGATGGCAACGGCAGAGGTGAGCAGAAGTAGTTACCAAGACACGAAGGATTTCCCGGTTAAAGAGATCCCAACAATCCCTGAAGATGATAGAAGCACTCAGTTCTCTCATGAGTCAACTTACCAGGTAGATTTATGTCTAAGTAACCCCTCAAAAGGAATGCAGGCATGGCAGTTCCTCCAAGACTTCCAAAAAGGGAAACTAGAACTAGCAGGAACATTTTTGTCTAAAACGTAAATGTAAACATTAACATTTATTTTTGGCTCAACCTGGAATTTTGAGTTTCTTCCAAACATTCATTATATTTATATTTTAGCAATTAAGTATATGCATTAAAGTCGCTATCTGATTTTTTCAATTTTATGAAATGTTTTAGATAATATAAAGGAGTGATATGATGTTTAAGACTTTTATTATTACTTTTTTCTAGAAAGGATGCTTTACTGAAGAATTTCATATATTGAATAAAAACACAGTAAGAACTTTACTGACACCTCAAAATTTTGTGCACACACTTATATATTATGTAATAATATATAATATTTCATATAACCTTACTGTTATTGTTTGTAGCCTCTGATAATTGTTTTTATTCTTTCTGTTGCCTTAGCAGTCATTGTTTGTATTAATGAAAATACATTAAATAGAAAATAAAATATTTGCTCACAAACTCTTGATCTCCACGTTTTTTTAAATGCTACTATATTGCTGCTAAATGGTGAACCAAAAAATTAGAAATCAGGGAGACAGAGAGTAATATGCCTCTTGCTGCTGCTTTGACTGAATAGCCTCTGGGTCCTCACTTGCTGAATTGAGGAAATACTATTTTTCTCCTTGAAGAGTTTCTGAAAAGTTGTTTTTACAGTTCTTGCTTGAATTTCTTTTTAAGTACTTAAAAATTATTGTCTTGATTAATTGATCTTCTATTTAGAGAGGCTTCTGCTGCCGATAGTCAAAACAGGGACAAGGGGCATAAAAACTTAATGATAGACATTTGAGGTTTTAACCTCTGACATCATCCTTTGCTTCATATATGAGCAAGTTGGGGTTCAGAGAGATGAAATCACTAAATCAGAATTTTATCTGAAAATGGAAATGGAGGCAGGAGAAGTGTGAGCAAATACTTTTAAAATATATACATGTATATGACTATATATATATATACATATATATGTCTCCCATCATAATCCTATTAACAATTATAAATTGATGTTTTTCATATTTTAATCATATAATATTCCTTAACTTTAACAAAAGTTTTTAACATTTCAGGAATTCTGTGAGATTCTTCTACAGAAGATCCTGTGTAAAATTTTTTTTAAATGGAGTTTCATGCTTTGGTGTTTCTAACTTACAAATCTGTGAAGCAAAAATATCACCTGCTATCACTTCTCCATTAAAGTATTTTCCTGGTTAAACAATAAAATAAATTTGTCACATGTTTAGTTTATTTGCAGGGTGGAGGCAGAATTTATCTTCTCCTATGGAAACTTTGGTTATGGTTATTCACATCAGGTTAGTTCTCCTCTTCTAAAAATTGTTCTGCTGTAGCTATTCAGTCAGATCATCCTTTTCTGAGCCTCTATCCTTTCCAGTTTGATAAATTCCTTAAAGTAAATATTTTTAAAATACTGTTTTCTTCAGCCTAAAGAAAAATGAAATTACCATTATCTGCTTATACATTTAAAAATAATCTTTTACTCAAAATGCCTTCATTATAAAACTTGCTTTTGTGTATGTACATACTTATATCAATACTTAAATTGAACACATTAGATATTCAAGAAATGAGTATGGATTTTTATATCTAAAACATATACTTAAAATGGAGTTATTGATGTTATTCAGATATTATTTTGTACTCTGATCATATATACTCCTTTTCCCATTGATTATTTTAGCATCTGATATTATTTGAATCCTCCTTGATTCATCAAGAGAATAATATGCCCAAAGAGGATATCTTCCTACCTTTGGCCTGCCCTTTAAATTCCCTACATTTATCCATGTTGCAGTGAAAATTTCATACATTAACCTGTGTCCTTTTCTTTCATTATATCATTAGACTAGATTCCTAAAATAGAAATTATTATCCAAAACAATGACTTTTCCAAGGAATTGTTCTAGAAAGGTGGTACCAATATATATTCTCACTAAGTGTTTGAAAGAACTGCTGATATCTCTGGATATCATCATAGCTTTAGGAGCATTTATAAATCTAGTTCCATTAGTGCATCTGTTAATATAGAGGAAATGACCCCTGTGCTTTGCATATAATCTTTTCATTTTCTAGTTTTGCTGTTTTTCTAGTCTTGGTTGTTTTTAATTAAGAATGAAAGTGAATACATCAGTCTTATTAAGTAAATCTACTGCTATGTTAACTGAGAAATTCCTGTAAAATGAATTTTAAAATTTTGCCTGTGGTATAAACGTAATGATTTTTAATGCATTTTGAATCAGAAGTAATATACAGATGAAAGCTACTAAGCACAAGCTTGTTTTTCTTTTTTCCTTCTTGGCTTTCATTTCTCTTTCTTTTCCTTCTATCTATTTTCTTTATTTTCTTATCATCAGTTAGGCCTTACAGGGACCTGTAATTGTATAGTTCTTTTTGTGATATTCATAGTTTATAAGGAACAACTTAAGAGGTAGGTTTTGATTCTGAATATCAGTATAATTTGTACTAATCTCATTTTAAGGAGATACATCCTTTTCAAATAAAACTTGGCAAGTATTGCTTTATGTAGGTAGACTTTATTAGAAACAAAGATCAAAGGTATTCTATGGAAAAGAATGGGAAATAGAACAAAAGTTCAATTTGATACTATGTGTATGAACTTTTCAGTAATATAGTCCCCTACCTATCATGACAAAGTAAAAAGAGTACTGCATTGGGGGCACATAAAGCTGCATTCATATCCAGCTCTTATGCCTATTGGATAACCTTGAACCAACTACTGAATCTTCAGTATTATCTGCAAAATAACCAGTTATCTACCCCATTGGATTATTGAGAGGACTAAATAGTATCAGAGATATAAAACTTCTGGCAGATATTTAGTGCTCAATAAATGTTAGTTTTTTTTCTTCTTTAATTCCTTTTTTCTTATATGTATCATTTAAAGCCTGTTCCTTAGTCCTGCAGAATAGCAGTAGTATGGTGAACTGTAGTTATAATAATGTTAAAATATATTTACCATTTTCTCCAGCTAAAATCTCTTGAGAAAATTATCAAGCCATCCATGTTTATGAATATTGCACCACCTCCAGAAAGAACAGATCCTGTGACGTAAGCATTTGAAGTCTTATTAAAATAACTAGATCATACTGCATTTAAAAAATTTAATCCATTTGATGGACTGTTTTGGTTGTCTTAAGACATAGCCAGAATGGGCTAGGCTTCAAGGTAAAGAGAGTGGTGAACTGGTGTTGTTTAATTAGGTAGGGGAAATCTTGAGTTCCTGGTATAGCCCTGGAGACAGGAGGTGAGGAGGTCTGGAGATAAGAAAAAGGAAGGGGTACCAACTTCATGGCTGAAGGAGGGAAGGGTACAGCTTGATGAGGAAAGTTGGCCAGTGAGAGATTCCTTTTGTAGAAAGAGGCAATGAACTTTTAAGACCAAGGTGTCTAATAGTTGTCAGTTTTTTGCTGCTTAGTACGCTAGTGTTACCTACACTTCCTCACATTCCAGTTGTTATTTCCAAACCTTAAGCAAAGTCTTTGGTTAAAAAAAGTCATTAAAAAACTAAAAGTAACTTAAAATATGTGTCAACATGTCTTGAAATTTTAACAGTAAAAATAGATAAAAGAAAAATGAGAGCCTGAGAAAGAGATTTAATCTATAGTGCTATCCAAAAATAATAAAAGGAAAAAATGGAAATGGGATTGAGGGAATTAGGTATAGGATAGGAAACTATATTCTGAAGTGCTTATTGTCCTGTAGTCTCAAAAACACTGGGTATTATCACTAGACACAAATTTTGTCCATTTGATATTGGTGATTTGTTGAAATAGTAAAGTTAAATGTTTTTCTTATGTTTATTGATCAGTTTTCCATAGCCATCCATTGATTCAATAAACATTTGTTGAATGCTATACCCCCAGTGCATTGTAAATACAAAGGTTCAATGAACAAGAGCAAATATTCCTAAAGTTCATATGGAACCATGAAAGACCCAGAATAGCCAAAGCAATCCTGAGGAAGAACAAAGCTAGGGGTATTACACTCCCTGACTTCAAGCTATACTATAAAGTGACAGTAATCAAAACAGTATGGTACTGGCACAAGAACAGACCCATAGATCAATGGAACAGAATAGAAAGCCCATATATAAACCCACACATATGTGATCAATTAATATACAATAAAGGAGCCATGAATATGCAATGGGGAAAAGACAGCCTCTTCAATAACTGGTATTGGGAAAACTGGACAACTATATAAAAGAGAATGAAACTGGATTACCATCTAACTCCATACACAAAAACACAAAATGGATCAAAGACCTGAATGTAAGTCATGAAACCATAAAACTCTTGAAGGAAACATAGACAAATGTCTTGAACATAAGCCTGAGTAATTTTTTTCTGGATACATCTCCTCGGGCAAGGGAATAAAATAAAAAATGAACAAGTGGGACTACATCAAACTAAAAAGCTTCTGTACAGCAAAGGACACCATCAGCATAACAAAAATGCAACCTACAGTCTAGGAGAATATATTCATCAACAGTTTATCCTATAAGGGGTTAAGATCCAAAATATATAAAGAACTCAGAGACCTCAACACCAAAAAAAAAAATAACCCAATTAAAAAATGGGTGGAGGACCCAAACAAACATTTTTTCAAAAAACAAACACAGATGGACAACAAACACATGAAGAAATCTTCCACATGATTAATCATCAGGGAAATGCAAATTAAAACCGCAATGAGATATCACCTCACACCAATCAGAGTGACCACTATCCAAAAGACAAGATACTACAAGTGTTGATGAGGATGTGGAGAAAAGGGAACACTACCTACACTGTTGGTGGGAATGTCAATTGGTGCAAACACTGTGGAGAGCAGTATAAAGGTTCCTCAAAAAACGAAAAATAGAAATGCCATTTGATCCAGTAATTCCACATCTAGGAATTTATCCAAAGAAAACAAAATCCCCTCTTTGAAAAAATAGATGTATGTGTCCCTATGCTTATTGCTGCATTATTTATAATACCCAAGATATGGAAGCAACCTAAGTGCCCATCAATAGATGAATGTATAGGAAGGTGTGGTACATATACATAATGGCATATCATTCAAAAGAAATCCCGCCTTTTGCAACAACATGGATAGACCTAGAAGGTGTATGCTAATTGAAATAAGCCAGGTGGAGAAAGACAAATGCCATATTATTTCACTTATTTGTGGGATAAAAAAATGAAGCAAAACAGACTGAACCAAACAGTGGTAGGCACATAGACACTGAGCAGTGACTAGTGGTTACCATGGGGAGGGACGGGTAGGTGGGTGGAGAGGGTGAGGAAACAAAGGGGCACAAAAATCTCAATATAAGTTGGTTGCTTGGATGGTAGTACAGCATGGAGAATATAGCCAATGATTCTGTGACATCTTTCTATCCTGACAGATAGTAACCTCATTAGTGGGAGTGCGGATTTAATCATATGGGTAACTATTGAACCATTGTGTTTTCTACCTGAAACCAATATTAGATTGTATATCAATGATGCTTCAATTTAAATAAAGGTAAATGAGGCCTGGTCCCTGCCCTTAAGTAGCTCATGGTTTAGTGGAAAAGTAATGTGTAAAAGTAAAGTATTATTATACAGATGGAATAAGTGCTCTCCCAGAGGTAAGCATAAAGAAATGTGGGACACAGCCAAGGAGTTTTTCATACTTATGGGAGTTAGGAGGAAAGTATTATCAAATAATATCAAATAATGCTTCACAACAGAAAGAGCATTTGAGCTGAGATTTGTAAAAATGGGTAGTAGTCCATCAGGTTGGTTTTGTAAGGGTGAGTAGACACTCCCACAGAGGGCACATATGTAAAAGGTGGGAGCCATAGAGGCTATATCATTTTGGAGAACAGTGAGTAGTTACTTGGAGAACAGTGAGTGGCTAAAAGCATAGGAGCAAGGAGGGGAGCAATGGGAAATGAGCTGGAGCAGTAGTAGGAAGGGGCAGGAGGTGGTGGTTAAGAGTTCAGGCTGTAGAGCCAGACTGCATGGGCCTCCCTCCATCTTGGCTCTGCCATGTACCAGCTGTGTGACTCTGGGCAAGTTACTTAGGCTTTTTGTGCTTTATCTATTGAATGGTATAAAAATAGTAACTATTTAACTGAGTTGTTGTGGTGATTAAGTTATGTATCAAACACTTAGAACATGGTAGCAAATAGTAAAATGCTTACCTCTTAGCTACTCATTAAAGTAATAAATATTCTGTCATCACCATCATCATCATTGTAGGCTTGTGCTTCTCAAATTTAAGTGAATTTTACTCTTGAGTCCTCATCAGTGCACTAGGGAAACAAAAAGACACTAGAAAATAAAGTGAGTCTTTCTGGAGTATTACTTTACTCAAAGATGTTGAGAGAGAAAATGTTATATTAAGATTAACATGTAAGTATTGGAGTAGAATAAAAGTCACATACATTTTTAAGATAAAAAAATGCTTCTTAAGAAATGGTGTTTGTGTCTGCTTGCAGTAAATTCATCTCTAGAGACCTTCAGTGTCCTCTTCTGTCCCACAGGAGTTCTCTATTGGAAAAGTTCAGAAGTGCTATAGGAGATGTAGAGCCATTGATGAATTTTAAGCTGGGGAAATAACATGATCAACTTGGATTTTTGATTCTGTCAATAGACTTCAATATAGGCAGAAAGGGTTTAGGATTGGAGGAAGCTGTTGCATTAGTCTGCATGAGAGAGAATGATAATCTACAGCAATGGTTTGGTTAATTTTATGTGACAACTTGACTGGTCTATGGCGTGCCCACATTTTTGGTCACACAATATTCAGAGTGTTTCTGTGAAGGTGTTTACAGACAAAATTAACGTTTAGAATAGTCTAATGTCACAATTATCGAAATTGGAAAGAGAAGAACAAATGAGGCCTAAGGTCAGCAGAAGGAGGGACATAATAAAGATCAGAGAAGAAATGAATAAAATTGAGAAGAATAAAACAATAGAAAAAAATCAATGAAACCAAGAGCTGGTTCTTTGAGAAAATAAACAAAATAGATAAGCCTCTAGCCAGACTTATTAAGAGAAAAAGAGAATCAACACACATCAACAGAATCAGAAACGAGAA